CCATGATTAAGGCAAACACCTAAACCAACACAGATCTAAGGAGAACTGAACAACCAAGAGATAAGCAAAAGGGCAGACAAATTCATTGAAAAGAAGGTGCACCCTCATTAAATGTCACAATAAATATTGATATGGACGTTCTCTTTAAGTCCTCTTCATTTTCATCCTTACATAATCATGTTGATGCTTCCATTGTGTAACTTCTTCATTGTATAACTACTTTCAGTGATCTAAGAAAGAACTACTGCTAGGAGAAAGGAAGTGGAAGGAGATCATTTTCTAGCCAGAAACATTTATTTCTCATTCTAGGATACGGTAATGACTTTTCCTTGTAACAAGAAAAATAGACTGCTTTTAGCGGTGAATATCTGACACTTGTTTAACTGATCACTAGCATATCCAAGGATATTTGTTTAAGTGATCACTAGCATATCCAAGGACAAATACTTGACCATCGTCACTGAAAACCACAATTTGCTCAATGCACTGTATCAGACATGCACAAAGACAGAAACTTGATGTTCTATAAATGTAATTTATGGCATCTTATGTATCACCAATACGCATAACCGAAGCTGGTGAGTCAAACAACAAAATGGATGATGGATGCCCTAATATGGAAGGAAGAAAATAAGGTACACCAACTCCAGCATACAATAAGGAATAAGGTCATAAAATAAAAGAGTGAGAAATCTACAAACCCGATGCCAGATCATCAAATATTAAAAACCACTCAGGATCTACTAGCATTTGAGGCTAAAATATGAGAAATTGTGAACTTTTGTTCCAAAGGAGGGATCGAACATTCAGAGTTTGGCAGCCCAAACTCATGCACCAAATATTGACTGAGTATTTTCATATGTATTATGAAAATTATACATACAAAAAGTAAAACTTAGACACCTACTGATAGAGACTTCCAACGTAACAACAATCAAGACCATAAGGGATGTGACCGACCACTAGCTGTTTCCATAAAAATAAAATTTCCATTTTGAGCGATAAGATTTTGCTATCTTGTCACATTTCTGCCAGTTTAAAAGACATTAGAAGTAGGTTCTAACTGAAATTTTTCCCCTTAGAGCTAAATGTCAACATCCCACACAAACCTAATTGAAAAAATTGGCAATCCTGATCTTCTTCTTACCACTTGCATGTCAAAGGTATTTCAAGAAGTCAATGTTTAGCATTGAAAAATGTCATTGTATTATATTTATTTCTACTTCCAAGCTTAGAGGATTGGGGTGGCAAATGGTGAGAACTAAAATGATCTTATCTTAACACTTATCATCCAACCAAAATATACAATACGATTAATGGTGCCTAGTAACGAGTAACTTACTGCAGAATAATTGAAGGATCAAGTAAACTCAACCAAAGTAGAGTTGGTCAGCAAAAAATGCTTCAACCAGCCATTAGTTTTGGACTTGTACATACTAAAATGCATGAAAATATCAGGTAAAAGAACTAGCAGCTGAAAGTTTCAAAAGCTAGTAGTGGTACATATATATTTACCAAGATATAAAGCACGTACAAGGATATAGAAACTAGAATGAGCATCTATAAGACTTACAAATATAGACTGCTCTTTGGCGTACAGAAGGACCCTGTGCCATGGCATAACACCAGAAACAATCCTCAATACATCCTTTGAAAGTGGACAACACCGAAAGATTCTTCAATGGAAAGTTTAATTCTTGGAAAGAGGACAAAAAGGTGCTCTTACTGATAGCCCAGATGCCATACATCAAATTTCAGTATCTATTGACAGAATGAATTCAATAATGCTTTTAACAGCAGTCAAAACTTCATACATGGTTGCCAAACACAGCCATATGAAGAAAATTCTGATACCTTCAGCAAACAAAAAAGTTTGCAGTATAATGATTAGGAACCTTGTATTATTTTGATCTGTATCTCCAGGAAACAGCTTTTTGCTTATCTCAACCTTCTTCTTCTAGGTTCAGATGCATATGCATTGTTTGAATCAAAATCTATTTGATTAGTTCTTCTCCTAGAAGATGAGGGGAGCAATGCAAAATTTGTTTCTGAATCTGTTGTCTGGTCCACAATAACGGTCTCAGTTCCTATAAAGGAAGCAGAAGGGAGCGCATCAGAGTTGATTTCAGCAGCAGTATCAGAAGTCAGAGTTTCTGGTTGTATAACTGCAGCAATGCTGGAAGATGTATCTCCATTGTCAATATGTAAAGATTGATGATGGGTTCTTCTCACATGGTGACTAATACTATATTCCTCGAGATCCTCGACTAATCTTTCTGCCGAATCCATTGCAGTACTCAAAGCTGACGAAAGGGAAGATACTGAAGCAGCTCGTTGTAGTAATAATCTTGAAACTTGAAGGGAATCATGCTGGTTTTGGTTTCTCGCCTCAGTGGCAGGTGATGCCTGGGATGCATGATTCTGGCTGGGCACGAAACTAGTTCTTTCAGCCATGATTTGGGCACGGGAACTATCCCGTGACCGTCTTCTCTCCCTCATTGAACCAACTATGTTGCTAAGTTGCTGAATCCTTTCTTCAATCAAAGTAGAAGATGGGCCCCACCTAATGAGCTGTTGCCTCAAACCCTCAATCCTGTGTGCAGGGGGCCTAGGAGGGGCCTTTGAAACAGACTCCTTTGATTTGCGAGAACAGTTACCATCCCCATTCCCGTAAATTGGAATCAGACTTGTATCAGTGACTTCTCCTTCACACACGGGGCATTCCTTTGCATTTGAATCCGCATATGACAACTGATAGAAGCATGGCCAACAAAACAGATGACCGCAACATGTCAATATAGGATCTCTTGCCATGTCCAAGCATATATTACAATCAAAAAAGCTCCAGTATGAGGCTCTGCCTTTTTCACAGGTGTATCCATCCCCAGTGCCTTGGCTATCAAATGCATGTTATCACCTCTGTTGGTTTTGCCCGATTCCACTGTTTCTCGGGAAGCTAGAGCATCGTCTCCACTCTGACTGTGTTCGTTTTGTGTATCAGAAGCAACAACTCCGGCAGTGATATTCACAATTTGAGGGGAAATTTGAGCTTGTCGCCACCTCGGACGCTGCGAAGCCCTGGAAGTGACTGCTTCTAGTTGTCTGATACGTTCTTCAATGCGTCCATGTGCAGTTTCAAGCTCATTGAGTATGTTATCTAATCCGATCACCGAATCAGGTGGTTGGTCTAAAGGCTCTTGGTTTAGATCCAAAATCATGATTTCTTCCCTTATATTGCTCCCCATCTCTATACAATTCCACCAAACCTATTCCTTTAGGAGCAAGAACCCAATTGAATCCAGAACAATTTCAGTCACCCAGCTAGAGGAAATCAGCAAAAAACAAGGTTACTTTCCTGCCAAACATGCGAAAACAATGTCATTGAATTTGAAGGGGTATACTTCGTCACTTCAAATTCATTACAACTAAAACAAATTAAATTGAACATTTTATTCGATACGCTACGTGTAATTTCCTTGAAAATTGAAAACTCAAACATCATCATTATTTTCTAATAAATTATGCTTTGACTCAGGAAAATTACAAGCCCGCGAAAGCTCAGGCAAGCAACGCATCAAGAAGGAAAAAATTCTACTTGGCAGAAGATCAGATTTATGTACCTTTAAACATCATATATGATATATCGTCGTTAAACAGCGAGTACAGCCACGGAGAACAAATTAAATAGGGAAAGAAGAAAATAAGCTTTACCTATATGTATATGTATAGGATTGGCCCAGGAGCCAGGAGCGAGCTGCTACTTTTATTTCTTCTTCTTTCTTTCTGCTTTCTTCTGTGTTGTACGTATGAGAGAGAGAGAGAGAAGGAGAGAGAGAGAGAGAGAGAGAGAGAGAGGCGCCAACGGCAGATAAGCGACTGGGAAAATACTGCCTTTGAGCCAAGCCAGTTCATATACGACATCTGCCGGGTGACCATAACTCTGTGTTTATCATGCCGTTAGCTTCCCACCGGGTCTGCCGGGATACGGCCCAGATTCACTTGGGCCTGTCAATTTGTCTGGCTCAAACCTTGACATTGAGCCCAAATATATGCTTGCTGGGTGCTATCTTCATAAACCTCTATGCAAGATGTTTTATATTTTTTTCGCATACCCGTTAGAACATGTTAACAAATTGAATCGTTATTGGATCACCTATTTTGATAACTGATATGACATGTAAATGATACGAGGACGAGCTGTTTGCAAGGTTTAGACATTGAATTTTTGCATGACACATTAATCTGACGTGAAATGATACGAATCGTTAACAAGTTGGGTTGTTATTAGATCACTTTTTAAGAACCCGTAAAGATAACAGGTATGACACGAACACGACAATATGACTTGTTTGCTAGGTCTCCATCCCCGTGAGGGGATGCACATATCCCTCCATTTGCCTATTATAACATATTTTGAGCATATAAACTTAGAACCATTCAATTTCTTAATCATCATTCGAAGATCACTCCTATAAAAAATCGTTTAATCATCCAAACGTATCAAATCACTTGGTACCTACAATGTTGATTTGTTCTATACATTTCAATTACTAAATGATCCCTGATTTCGAAACGAAGATTAAGAAATTGAAACGGTGATAAACTCATTACCCCTATGCAAATAATGTATATTTAATGTACAAATTTCATAATGGAAACCGTTTAATATCTTAATTTTCATTTGAAGATCATCTTTATAAAAAAAGCTATTTGAAACAAAGATCGACAACAATCTTCCAAATGTATTAAATAAATCAACAGTATAAGATTTAGAATTTATAATAGGATTTTTCTTCTTTTGTCGTGCTTCGATTTGTTAACAACTATGGGCAAATCAGAAGACAAAACAATTTTGTAACAAATATATAATACAGTGCAAATATTGAATCGAACGAAGCTAGTTTTGCAGCTTGTACGATTACAATAAGAAATGATTATTATCTTTTAAGAAAAAATGACTTGTTATTTGCTGCAAGACAAAGACTAAACATTTATAATCGTCAAAAGAAGCCGAGACCGCTAAAAAAGTCAATGGATCCTAATGACGAGAGATCAATACTAGCACCAGCAGTGCTGCTTCCGAAATCAGTAATATTCGTATCAACACCGAAACCATTGCCACCAAATCCACCGCCGCCGAGTATTTGTTGAATCAGCTGTGTCTGATCTCCTAGACCCTGACCAGAGGAACCACCAAATGCACCGCCACTGGTTATTTGTGGAATAAGCTGTGCCTGCTTTCCCAAACCTGGATTGGGTCCACTGCCACCACTGGCTATTCGTTGAATAAGCTGTACCTGATTCTCCAAACCCTTATTAAACGAATCACCAAATCCAGCGCCACCGAGTATATGCTGCATCATCCGTGTCTGACTTTGAAGTGCTTGGTTGAAAATAGCATTTCCCAGCAGCCCAGTACTATTATTCATATTTGGCGCATAGTTTTGAAACTGACGAGTACTAGCACTTGTTGGGAAATACTGGGTTCCAACAGCAGCAGCAGCTTGCGCATGCGCTGCTTGAGTTTGTTGAACTGGAGGAGATGTTGGTTTTGCCGTGGCGCCGCCCAAATGAGCCGTAAAACCACACAGACTACACGAATAGAGCCACTCTTTGTGGCCCACTCCGTTGCAGATATCACATATGAAGGTGTGGTTAAAACTTGCAGCACGAAATGAAAATGTGAGGTTGAGTTGGTGATGAGGGTGAGATTGGTGAGTGAGAAGCAATGGCATTGAAGCACAAGCTGTGTGGAGGTCAATGTTGCAAGCTCCACAATGGTAGGCAAAGCCATTTCCGTGCTTCATGCATGCATCACAACTGAACGCCCCATCCGAGTATATTGGGGTTGGCAGCAGAGACAATACATGGTTTTTACGATCGCACGGATGAGTGATTTGCTGAGGCATTTCTGAACATGACATGTGGAGGAAATACCTGCATGGTGTGCAAGTGTAAATCCATCCACCTGCATCTGAGACGTCATTGAGTTTACAGCATGCACACAAGTCCTGCTGCAGGTTTGGGGTTTGCTGGGTGTGGTGAATGTTGGAAAGTTTTAGTGGATGTGGGTGGCTAAAATGTTGAAGATCGGGGCTGACCATTAAGCCTCATCTCTCCCTACCTCTTCAACAGAAATTTCTTTTTTTCTGATGATGTCTAGCTCGTTCTCTCTCAAACTTGTTGATTTGTAGGTTCTTATTTAACAATTAGTGTCCAAATTTGTACAAAAAGTCTAGCTAATGCTAACCTAGTCAACTTAGCAATAACGTGACGGATATATATACAGGGTCAATACAATATATAAGTATTTACTTACTTTGAGTTAGAGCTCGTTTAGATGTATTTTTAAAATGACTTAAAGTGTTTTAGAGACAATATTTTTGAGTTGCAAAAGCACTTGCAGTGCTTTCTACCAAAAGCACTAATTATATACTTCTTCTAAGAAATACTTTAAATGATTTTTTAATATTTTCTAGCGTTTTTATTAAAAAATGTTTACAAAAACGTTTTTAGTCATTTTAAAACACATCCAAACGAGCTTTTATTATGTTTTGTTACGATTAATAATATGATATGTATTTGTATACATTGCATTTATATAAACAAATAAACTGGTGAGATATTTTCTTAATTAAAAATGAATTTAATTGGAAGGAATTTTCTGGTTGGGTGGCTCGCTCTTTCTCTACACATACTGAAGTCAATGAATCTCTAGAAGTCTAAAGACTCAGTCCTTCCCTGTTAATTTTTTCATCTAAGGCGATGGTGCTGCTATTTTCTTATGAGGTATTTATCGGTTTTTTCCCTGAACTTATATAGAATTGTTAATTTCTCACATGAATTTTAATTTTAGCCATATTATTCCTTTTTATAATTAATCAATTTTTTCTTGAATTTTAACTTTAGCCTATTACCTCTCAAAATTTTATAAATAGTCAATTTCTCTCTAGCGTTAGATTTTAAATTTTTTTCATCCATTCAATTTTCTATTCTTTTTGTCCCATACAATTGTGTCATATGTTGTTCGCATGATCAAAACAGATGAAAAATTAGATGGAATTTTTTTTTTAAAAATCTAGCGTAAAAAGGAGAATTGGTTATTAATAAAAGTTGAGTGAGATAATCGGTTAAAATTAAAATTAAAGAAAAAATTAACAGTTCTATACAAATTTGGAGAGCAAATCGACATATATGACTTTTCTCATATGCGGCATTTAAGCAGGGAATTCTGAACACAACTTTAATTACAACACTTCTGTGCTGTCAATTGCGGAATCTTTGATTTTTTAAATCTCAGTAATCAATAAATTTGTTTAATTAAAGTTTTAAGAGTTTTTTTTTTTTTTTTTTTTTTTTTTTTTTAATTTGAGGCTTTTTTCGTATACCAAACTGATTACTGAGATTGTAAACACAGTAATCATGGTCTTGGAATGTATACAACCGATTACAATGGGATGGTTTGATCAATGTGAACTTAAGCCAACAATTAAGTATGCTAAAAAAATAATTATAATATATATATATATATATATATATGTGAAGGTTTTTTTTTTTTGGTAAACTGGGAAATCTATTCTAAGGCAAAGAAGTCGTACAATGACAGCCTACAAGGAGCCAAACACATATCTGCAGCTACTTTGTTGAATAATATTATTCACCCTTCAAACACACATGCATGATGCCAAGAAAAATTTAGGAGTATATATTGAGATTAGATTATATTATATATTAGAGCGAATCTAATATTCTTATTGGCCTAAGTTACTTATTTCTCAATTGTAATTACTAATTAGCTTGCACAGGGCACATTCTACTCCTATATATTTTAGCAGAAAACGATCGTAAGTTCTCTCTAAATCTGTTCTTGCCCATGCAAACTCTAACTTTATTTCAAATCTCAAATCCTCAAACTTTCAAACACAAACGTAAATCAGTTTCTTATCTTATTAGACTTTATTCCGTTGTGATTTCTGACTTAGAAACCCCGGAGTCCACCAAAACCCTTGTCCTTGGCTCATCCACACCGCTGATTATTGTGCAGAATTATCATCATCAATTATATTATCACTCCTTTTATAGTTAATGACCCATTAAAAAGAAATAGTTTCATGTCAAGATTTTAGAGTCGAGCCAAATACACACTACTAACAACTTGCAAAGCCGGCATGTGTTAGTTTATCACAAAATTTCGCAGTGCAATTAAGAGTAAAGTTGTAATTTATTTTGTAAAGTTTTCGATGTTGGCTTGCATCTTCAACACCTGCATCCATGTTTATTCTAATCACGGAAACATCATGGGATCAAAGTTGAAGCTAAATCAAAATTGAAAGTGAAAAATGTTATAAAAGACCTTATGCGTATGTAATTATCCCAATCTCAAGGTAAAAACTTTACAATGATGGCGCATACTTCAGAGGAAGATGTATAAACATCCGTGAATGTCTGTTGTTATTGTCAAAGAAGTACATAACAATATTTTCAAACTAAGTAGGTATAATCTCCACTGACATAGTCTGCACATCCACCGATATAGTCAGTTGAGTATTCCAATGACAATGAGGAGGGATCAGTAGCCGTAGCACTAGCAGTAGTGCTTCCAAAATCAATAGTAGTACCAAGACCACAACCCACCAATTGTTGTTGTTGTTGCTGCTGCTGCTGTTGCTGGAACTGTTGTTGCTGCTGCTGAAACTGTTGTTGCTGGAATTGAAGCTGTAGTTGTTGCTGGTACAGTAGTTGTTGCTGCAATTGTTGTGGTTGTTGCAGTTGCTGAAATTGTTGGGGTTCTTGTGGTTGCAGGTATTGTTGCGGTTGTTGTTGGGGTTGCTGAAGTTGTGGCAGTTGTTGCGGCTGTTGAAATTGTTGCAGCTGCTGAAATTGTTGCGGTTGTGGTTGGAAAGGTTGCGGTTGTTGTTGCTGGAATTGTTGCAGTTGCAGTTGCTGGAATGGTTGCGATTGTTGCTGGAATGGTTGCCGTTGTTGTTGTTGCGGTTGAGAATTACCAGCAGCTCCAAAAACAGGAAAACCGATAAGAGCTGTAAGTGCTGTGTTTACAATAGCCTTTCCCAACTTCTTACCACTTCTCCCTCTATTCAAAGGTTGTACAGTATTAGCAGCTTGTTCTACATATACTACACTGCTCTGCATTCCATTATTATTACTACTAATAATATTTGGTTGTGGTCCATAGTTTTGGACCTGGAGATCGTGAGGACTACCTGAAGCAGTATTTGTCTGATAATTATACGGACTGCCAACGACAACTGGAGACTGACGGTTGTGCTGCTTGATTTAGTTGAATCGGTTCGGCGGTGGCGCAGGCCAAATGAGCCGCAAAACCGCAAGGATGGCATAAGTAGAGCCACTCTTTGTACCCAACTTGGTTGCATATATGACAGATGAAGGTCTTGCTGCTGGTTGGCCCTGGAGGAAGTGAGAAGGAGAGAACGAGTTGGTGAGGGTGGGAGTGGTGAGTATGAACCAACGGCTTTGATGCACAAGTTGTGTGGAGATCAATCTTGCAATCTCCGCAGTGGTAGGAAAATCCATTTCCGTGCTTCCTACATGCACTGCAATTGAAGACCCCGTCAGAGTATATTGGGGTTGGGAGCAGAGTCAGGACATGTTTATTCTCATCACACGGATGCGTAATTTGCTGAGGCATTTGTGAACATGAGACGTGGAGCAAGTAATTGCATGGCGTGCAACTGTAAATCCATCCGGCAGAGGCATCCAGTTTGCAGGCTGAACAAGAGGTTGCTAGCCGCTGCCCGTTTGAGATTTGTTGGGGATGTGGGTGATGAAGATTGGAAAGGATCAAGGGATGTGGGTGGCTAAAATGTCGAAGCATGGCCTCAGGTTGAGGTTGACCAGCCACCTGCATGATCATCTCTCACTCTCTCACACAAGCACAGGGGGAGGAACTTGTCTTTCAGATGACCTCTAGCTAGCTTCCTTCTTGATCTGTGCTCTTATAATAATTTCGTCCCCTTCTGTACAATGTACAATGAACATCGATCGAATTAAGCCTAGTGGAATTAAATATAATCCGACATACTGCTGGGTCAATACAATATATATATGTCAAATTGAAAATATTTATAAGCAATGAGGCTGGTGAAATCTATTTTTTTATTGGAAATTGTAGGGTGACTTTATACGCATTCAAGTCAATGAGCCTATCTCTCAAAGAGCAATCCTTGTTAAAGTCAATCGTACTGGATCGTCCGATCATCGAACTCAAGAGTTGTTTCTGATATATATCTCCCCAATGGGGCATAGAAAAGAAGGAAAGAGGCTACAACTACAAAATTATTAAGCATATTCACTGAAATTATCTTGAATGATATCAATCAGGAGCTACGATCCTAATTACACCATGAAAATTAATATGACTAATGTTTAAAGTTTTAGAGAGGCCAACGGTTAGTTTTCACCTAAATTAACTATAACCATACATATGTAATACCTTTATATTGAAGAAGAATAAACACATATTTTCATGGTGGTATCTAAGTTGGAAAGTATCAAGTAAAATTAGCATCTTGGAAGACTTATGAAAACCAATCAGTTTAGTTGACATTGTCTTCCTATACATTCTCAACCACTTCATGCTACACAAAGATATATACAAGGAATTAAGAAGAAGAGGGGGAAGGGACATGCAAAGGTCAAATGTAATCTTGTATTTATTTAGTGTGTATATATACTGACCAAAGGGAAGGGATTCTATTTTAAAAAGAGAGCTGCTAGACCCATCCCGTTGTCTTATTTCCTCACTCATGTTATATTTACACTCACTACAAAAAATTAAAAAAATCAAAATGTTATTTCTCCATCCACTATTATTCCTAAAATAGCCCTTAATATATATATATATATATATATATATATATATAATTAGAGAATATATTTTCTCTTAAAAATATAAACAAATAATATTGCTCTCTTCTAAAAGCTAGCAGAAAATAAAAAATAAAAAAAAACCGGGGTCTCCTAATCTTCAGCCTAATGGACATGTTTGGTCGGGATTGAAAATAGAGAAACTTACTCAAGTAAACCATCTCTCAAGCCCGAACTCCTGGGGTTTTTTTTTTTTTTCACAAGGAACAAATGTATGTGGGGTTATGCTAGATGATGATGGAGAATGCTTTCTAAAATTCCATTAAGGCAAGTCAGATAGGAGTTGCAGAGAGGTGGGTTCTGATTTGGGCAACCAAAATCCTAGGGATAAAAATATTTTAGTAATTATTTCAGGAAAAACAAAAACATTAAACCTTAGACATGGATTTAAAAGAAGAGCACGAATTCTAAATCAAAATAAGACAGAAAAAAAAAATCCCAATTCATATTCCCTAAGGAACAAACCAAGAGCAATTTAGTCAGAAAAATATAGAAAAGCATCGAAACGCAAGAGTTTATTGGGAAAAAAAAAAAATACTATTAACAGAATCTGGAATTGTCCGACTTATAAGCATGGCAGCGCTGCTTACCAACTTCAATTTTCGTCAAGCTCCACAATCTCTCTAGTTATAATAGTAGACACTACAATGGATTTGAATTGTTGTATATGAGCAATGTACGGAGTAGCCCATTCTAAACACCATAGTTCACGATATCTTTCTCAATTTGTTGCTACAGGAGGAATTGGATGACCTAATTTCAAGAACATCTGCATAAAAATACAACTTAATTAAACTAGACTACAAGAAATTTATAACTTAAACTTAAAGTAAATGCATTCAATCCTTATAAGATCACCTGTAAAAATTTCAAACAATAAATCATTATATCCATACATGCACAAAATGATGATTGGTGAATCAGATGGCGATCTCCGTACATGCTGCAAGTGGTATAGGTATTGTTCAAGACGTAAAAATGTAAGACATTGTGCATCCGATAGTGGATAAGCCACACCATAACATGATGCAATAATATGGCACATGTCAGGCATAGTCATCCACCGATCAATGTCTGCATGAGTTTCAAAATATCTCAATCCATGCTTCAACTCATGGACCCTATTTTCAAACCCATATAGCTTGGAGTAGCAACTTGAGTAAGTCCTTAACTCTTTTAATAAATCTTTTCGCACTTGTATCCATCCATCCTCATTATAACCCAATAATGATGCAATTGCTCTGAATCCGCAATGACCATCAGTTGCCACATCTTTTATAAGAATAATGTATGGTCTCAATGCTACTGGAAATGCATTAGTTAACTCAATTGGCTTAACTGAACGAGCACGATGCACGTTTTCCTTTGGTCGCCTCTTTTGTTTTGAACTCATTTCAAGATAAAGACCACCAAGTGAATAACTTCCTTGCCCCGATAACTACCGTCAATATCCAATCATCACCAGTTGCTAGTTTTTTACCTTTTAATTGAAACTGGCATCCACATTTTTGGTTCCAGAATTCCTTCTATCCTCATCCTTTATGTCTTTTTTTTTTTTGTCAATTCGACTGACATACTGTCCATTCCTTTCACAACCCAATGCAAGTTTAGTGCTCCTGTTATCTTTTCCACCTCGATCGAATCATAACATCACAATAACAAAACCATTGACCCTTCCAACTTCTCAAGCCCATTGTATTAATTCTACTCTACTCTTGAATAACTACGTACCAAAATTGCACATTATGAATAAACATACAAGAGTATAAGTAAATCAATTGGGTAGTCAAGCAAATATTACCTTATTTGTGGTTAATTCACTAGTACAGTCCACCATATGTGTGGATGTTGAATTATTACCAGATTTATCTACCTGCTGCAAACAAATTCCACCATACGTAAATGAATGGGCATTACATCAAGTTGAAAATAGTGCTAATTAAGAAAGAGATTTTGTGTAGGTTTCGGAGACAACACATCAATGTGGACAATTATTAGTGTCAGTTGCAACAAACATGCCTTACCTGAATTATTACCCTAACCTAATGAAAACGAATTCCAAGAATTCCCATAGGAAAATGTGAAACAAATTGCACCCTAACCTAATGCAAATTCAAATAAAAAGCCACGGAGCTATGCTTCAATTGTACGATGTCGACAAATCACGATGACCCACAAATAAAATATTCTTTTACCTCTTTCACGGAAACATAATCATCTACTTCTTCCATAGAAATGTCATCTTCTAAGTTCATTCTTTTTGCTTTCTCTGAATGAAAGGAGATGGGAATGATGAGTTAGGGTTTAAGGGAGACAAATTGTCTAAACAGAGCGTAAGAGTTATCACGCCCAAAACTTTTATTTTTTATTTATTTTTTTTTAAAAAAAGGTAATGCAAAAGGGAGTAACTAAGGTCCTTATTAGTCATTTTACAAATGGACAAATTTATAATTAAAAAATTCATTAAAAGGTGAGTGGAAAAATAAGACATTAGGGTGGGAATAACTACTCTCTTTTTTTAAAAAATGGAGATTAGTTGTGTGATCCACTCCATATCAAATTTCAATAATCCAAACCATGTATTTTGTAAGTCTTGAGTTATAGATCATCCTTATCAAAATTCAATTTGATCCGAAACTATTTGTCATTTAATTGTCACGATGAAATTTTAATGTTTCTTATAATATAATGCTTGTCAATTTCTTTGAACTCAATTATATGTCTCAAATATTTCCTATTTGGAAAATATTTTGCAAGAATGATCTATGAGATGTAACTTGAAAAATAGACGGTTTAAATTGTTGAACCTCAAAGGAGAAATCTTGAGAAACTTGACAATAAGTTGGGCTACTCCCCAACGTGCCACTTGATTTTATAGCGGAACCTCAATTTTCTTTATAATATTAGAGCAAGTTATTCCATGTGTGAAGCTCAACAACCACATGTGCTTCTTGTTACCCCTTTGTATTATCCACATGTTTAACTTGAAAATTCACCACACGTACGTGAGGGGTTTGAGGATGTAAAAGTAAAAGAGTCATATCGATGAAAGATTGAAAGTACAAACCTTCGAAGAGGTTGAACTACTCTCATATTGTCAAATTAATGATTAATATTATGGTGAATCCTTAACTTTCTTTGTACTTCTTACACAAAACAGATTAATCGAATCTTGTTATTCCTACCACTTCATATGACCACATATTAGTTGACCGCACGATGTGAGCACAAATAACGTATCTACTTCAACTTCATCATCTATAATTATTGACTTATCCGTAAGAAATTAACTAGAACGTTGATCATCCAATCCAAGGAGAAATCGATTCAGAGACTTAGAAAGATCGATCGATGCAATGGCAAATGGCGATGGTGAAGCATTTCAGCCACCGCCATGAGTTGTGCTCATTTCAGGTGCAAGAAGAAGATGATGAAATTATCATCTGCTCGGGATGTGACCTGGAGCTGATGATGAACTCAGGTACTTCAGCTTACAAATGCAGCAAGTCCAAGTGCCAATTTTACCTCCACGACTTGTGCTTCGAGCTCCCCCGACAAATAAAACACAAGTCTCACCCCCAACACCCTCTCACTCTCATCTCCAACCCTCCCTACGAATACGGCGAGTTCAAATGCGATGCCAGTTTTGAGTACGGCTCTAATTGTTTCGCCTTCCACTGCGTCCACTGCAAATACGATCTCCCTCTCCAGTGCGCTGCGTTGCCTGAAACTCTTGGTCATCCGCATCATCATGAGCACACCCTCACTCTCCGATATTCTTCATTGCCCCCAAATCACGATCAAGGCAAACGAATAATGTGCGATCTCTGCGGAGGGTCTTCCCCAGAGGGCTGCTGGGTTTACTGCTGCAAAGATTGCGGCTATACCAGTGATCTCCAGCGTTCCATTAATGCTGAAGCTGATGATCAAGATTACCACCAACATGACGATCATTCAATCTCATCTTGAACCGTTCAGTTTTATTTTTCGCATGCAATTTACGTCATCGATCGCTTACTAAATTACTATGTATCATGATGATAGATTATTTAGGAGTTAATTTTGCTATTCGGCGGTTTATGTACTACTTTGGCGTGTGATTATCTTCCCTTAATTATCATAACCTCTGGATTCCTTCGGTTCTTGTAGCGTTGCATTCGAGAGTATTTCGAAATGAAAATTGTCACTACTGTGTAAGAGGGAAAGAGCTACCCAAATTGAAGTAAACATCCATATATAGTGGATCCATCTAGTCGCTCTACACTTTGTAATTTGATTGTGCGACCTGCCGCGATTTGATATCAAGTATTAGGCTTTTCGAAACACATTCTTCAAATTCAATCAATTTGAATCCTATCCCTTTGCTCCGAACAACAAATTCATCTTCGACATCAATTCTATCAAAATTTCGTTGAAGTCCTTCAAAGACTTTCACATTACTTTTTGCCTAAAGATTCAACTCCATTGCCATCACCTTCACCTAGCTAAAGCCCCTAATCATCAAATGATTTTTTTTTTTTTTTTAAATTACAAATTCAAATTGATGGTGTCTAAAATATACGTCAAAAGGTCTGAAATTGTCAATTTAGGCAAAAATATACATTTGACCTGTGTATGTCATTACATATATTCTAATGTTTCCAAGAAAACAAAATTACAGAGAGAGTCATCTGTTTGAGCAAGCAATGGTGGTATATTTACATCGAGAGATAAATGAGGCCACCCCTTTGGAATCTGAATGCAACTATTCATTATTGTTGGAGGAGTGAGAGCCCTTCTTTTGTCCTCCAAGAATACGTGAGATCTGTAAACCTCTACTGAATGCTTGGTTGAAGAGCATTCGCGTCTGGAATTCGGAAACAAACGGAAACCAAGCCAAGAATGCAACCGGGGTAAAAAGAAGCAACCCAATGATTATTTCATAACCGCGAGCAAGTGTTTGAACTGATTCCCAAAACCCTGCTCGTTTAATTAGTGGCTTACAAGCTTGCGCAATCTGTAAGAAACAACACAAAAAAACAATGGAATTACTCGAGGAAAACAGGAAAGAGTAAGTTTGCAAAATAACACACAGAAACGGAGAAAAACAATTTACTGACCAAAAGCAATCCCCATCCAGTTGGCATGAAGGCAAGAATGCACACTACAACATCCCGAAGTGTCATATGAGGGACCACTATTAAGGTAATGAAGATAGCTAAAAATGTAATAAATATAAATCCCTTAACCAGTCGAAACAAAAGCTGATAGTCTGCACTTAATCGTCGCCTTCCAGCAGACACAGCCTGAAAAAGTTGAGCCAAACTGTCAAATAAAATCCAAGAGGCAGCAAATTTACTTTTCATTGTCATACCCATACATTTAGTCTGCCCAAACAAAACAGTTAGTAAAAACCAAGTAAATTTTTCCTCGCATGCAAAATATGCAAGAAAAGAGTCAACGGGACTTTTCTCTGAAAGTACACAAAACGAAAGCAAATGTGTGAACCATTTTTCTGAAAATACACGAAAGAAAATATTTCCTTAACTTCTCAAAAGACAGATTTTGAATTTTCTAACCCAAAGCAAATGCAAAATGCCTCAGTTTCTTCTCGGTGCAATAACAAAGAAAGCCTCTACGTGGTAAGTTATGCCCATAAAACAACTCATGATTGACATCATACAATGTTGCAACAAATATAAATCTATAAACAGAGAAATATGGCTTTGCTTCAAGATATATATTAGGAGTCCAGAAATTTTACTACGCACCTTCATCAGACACAAAACTAGAATGATCACAAGCCATGAAACACCGTATACCTGCATGTGCATTGAAAAGTAAATTAATACACCCGTATAATAAATAAAATAGTTATTTGGAATGCGTATATAAAGGTCAAGAAATGTTATACCAGGAAACTTTTGTTGTTTGTGATGTTAAGGTGATAAACTAGCCCATACTGGTAAATGAAAAAGCGCAATGCTAATAATATCTCAGCAACGATGCCACGTATCCCAGAGTACAGAAGGTGCTCATGTTCTTTTTCCCACCAGGATTCCCAGCTCTTGTCTGGTGATACACCGATCCCTCCATGATTGTTTATCCACTTTTTCCAATCTGTCCAGTCATCGACAATCTTTTGCCACTCAAACCCTGATGGATTGAAGAGGAAAGGTGCAAAAAGCCATGTTCCAACCATGAACCATATCTGTATTGTAATGAGAATATATACAACTCCACTTTTATATGAACGGCCAAATAGGTGGTATACCACAAGCAGAATCAATAACTCAATGCCCTTGACAAAGTGACTTCTAGAGTAGAGCCTGTAGTTGTCAGCAAACTTGGCATGAAACACCACAAAGCTACGACCCGTTCCTCTGTATTCTGCACCTCCATGAAGCAAAGTCTTTCCATAATAGTGGGTCTTTGTACCAAGAGAAAATGTGAAAAAAACGGGAGCCAATTGTAATTGCATCAATACAAAATCGCTAAGTGCAGTACGGAACCCCTTTTCCAAACCAATTTCCATAACCATAGGCAAGGCCATCAAAAATCCAATTTGCACAACAGACTGAGAAGCAAGAGCTACTTGAAGAGGTTTATTGTCTCGAATACCTCGCTGAGTACTCAACCCTTTTTCAAGTCCACTGAGAACAAGATAAAGGCGACCGTAGAGAAAAACATAGACCGTAAGCACAGTCAACTGTCAAACCAGAAATAAAACATTTGAGATAACGGGAAAGGATTATATTATAATTGAAGAAAAAGGTAGACTGGGTACATACTAAAGTGCTGAAATAGAAACCAATTGTGGTGACGTAGCAGGATAGCATTCGGAAGAAATCAAATCGATGCCCAAGTCTATAGATGTCACGACTCAGTGTCTGTTCGCCATTCCCATTAGCTATCTTTGCCTCAAAAATTGAGATTTGGTTGAGGCCAACATCTCGTCCTTTACCTACTTGTATATATTCATGATGAGTGACGCTGCCTTCACGTACTGTAGAATTGAAACCTGCAGACAACAAATATGTTAAATTGGTTCGCTATCATTCCAGGGAGGAGGAGGAGTTTTGGGGGTTGGGTGGGGTGGTGAAGTCTTAAACAAAGCGATTAGAATGCCTGCAAATATGTCCTCGCTTAAGTTGATGACTTTGGAAGCCTTGCTGACACCCCCTCTAGTCAGATGAAACAGTCGATCAAATACATCTGGATGACCATAGTGGAATCTAACCCTGAATGGGCAACAACAATTTTGGATTCAGCGGACTTCAATTAGATAAGAAAACATATGGTAACTGAAAAGTTGTGAATTGTGTGCCTGAGAAAGCATAAAAAAAAAAGCACAACAAAAATAAACATCTAACATCATACACTTGCGTTAACAATTCCATCTACATAACAAAATCAAGCTCTATCTGTCCCTGATCTTTTGATCAATTTTTTGAGTACATTTATTCCAACAAATATTGGGATATGAGTTTAAAAGAGGAACAAGAATTAGAATCGATCATTACTTAAACATAAGTTTCTCATGTTTCCTTTATATTTAATAACTTGGTTGTTGAAGATAAGATGAGGGAGAATCAGTTAAGGTGGTTTGTACATGTAAAACGAAGACCTACAAACGCTCCGTTTAGAAGATGCGATTACGAAATAGAGGCTCAGGGCCAAAGGGGTAGAGGAAGACCTAGGAAGACTTGGAAAGAGACTCTAAGAAAAGACTTGGACTACTTGGATTTAACAGAAGACATGGCACAAAACCGAGCGCAATGGCATTCCATGATTTCATATAGCTGACCCCATTTAGTGGGATAAGGCTTTGTTGTTGTTGTTGTTGTGGTTGTTCAAGCAAAGTAACTAACGTTACGATTGCACACATAAGATTCATTTTCTAAAATTCACCTAGTGTGTTGCCAGAAGTTTGGCGTACACATTCAGTAATACAGCCAATTCTGTGTGCGTTTGTGTGGTGGGGAGGGGGTCAGCAAGCCAATTCCTTATAAGCTGCCTAAGTCTTTTTAGCTTTCCGATGTGCCTTCACATCCTCACACACCCCCTGATGTGCACAGAAATTTCTAGCCTAACATGTAATCAATTTTAATTGGGTGACATGGAGTACATGGGACCATTGGGCTTTGTACATGGAGAAACTTGGGTTTGATACCACAAGGGAAGTTGAGGTCCAAACAAAAACAATTGGCAATGTGGGGAATATCACAATTTCTTTCAAGCCCGTGCAAGGTTTCTTAACTTTACAATGTGGGATATTCTTCACATCCTCACATATTTTAACCAGCTGAGAGGGGATCATATTTAACAAAAACAATATAGCATGAATGATCATGAAAGAAAAAAATTTGTTTTACTTTTGACTGAAAATAAACATGACCATTCCTACCAAACCAAAAGAGTAAACAAATATCATCCGCCACCTCATACAAATGAATTAATATGAACTTAATTGGATATGAAAAACATGCAATCTGCATAAAATCACAGTCGGTATGAGACTTGCGTTGAACAAACAAGAAACACATTATGACAGCTAAATCTCATTTTGGATGCAAATTGCAAAATAAAGTAAACATATTTTCGAATAGTATACCAGAAGTTTTGCAAAAGGAAAATAATCCAAATTCAAGACTCTTACCTCAGAGGATTAGCCAGCAATCTCTGCCCGATAGTTACAAAACTAGTCTCTTGATTTGACATAAACCATGCAAGAGATGAAACACTGCAAAATTAACAGAAGATATGATAAGCCACAAGCACGCTCACCAAAGAACAAGAATCTATGGAGTCTTAATTACTATTTGAACTGGAAATCCTGCTTCAGAGCAACAACATATACCTTCCAGTGAATATATGCTCCCTAAGTCCAAGTATTGTCGGGAATCTAACACCATCATGCTTCTCAAGAAATTCTTGCAGTAAGTTCCTCATTTTGAATGCTTCTTCCAAGTAATTATCCTGTTGAATAGATACAACAATGTCGTTAGCCTAGGAGACTGAGTTTCCAACTTTCCAAGAAGTACAAGCAGACAGAATTCATACCTATACAGTAAGTGATGTCAAAACCCTATTTTAGTGTGGCGGTCTTATCTCATATCAAACTTTCTTTCCCGAAAAAATCCAAGTCACTTCACACAAAGTA